TGATCTAGAACTGTTCATCAGATATACAAAGCTCTTGGATTTCAGACTTGCAGTGACAGTGCTTGGAAGGCAGCTGAGCAGTTCTCAAGTTACAGTTACTGTTCAGAGCCTGCTGTATAACTGTCTGTGTGTCATAGAAAAAGCCATCCTTTAACAGCTTCTCATGATGATTTGGAGATAGCTTAGGCAAACCAGTATGGTGGAGAAAGATATTTCAAATGTGTATGCAGTCAACTACTTTTTTTTTAAAGACTATCTAAATTAGTAAATCCCACCTACCAGTGTAATAACCAACAATAAACTTGGAGTTGGAAAGGTGAAACACACCACAGTGCTCTTGTGAGAGTTGTGTTTATTATGACTTATTTGGTACCAGCTACTAGCTGTTAATGCTCGGTGGAAGGGAAGTCCTTGCTCCAGCATGCTCAGCATCACCATTTTCATCATGTGGATGTTGACTTTTCAGCAGCTTCCTTACACAAAAGATTAGAGTGGTGGTGCTGGTGGGCATCTTCCAAAAGTGTATGGACTTTTACTTAGTTGGAAATTGTTTCTAATTTGTATTTCCTTAGTACACTAATGCACTTTACCTCTCCTTTTTTGGCAGTGAGGAATCCCTACACAGGCCACAAGTACCTTTGTGGAGCGCTACAGTCTAGCATTGTTTTGTTAGAATGGGTTGAACCAATGCAAAAATTTATGTTAATCAAGGTAATATTACGATAAGGTGAAATACTCTTGTTTTCAGTTCTGTTTATCTTTCAATGACTTATTAAGAATAAGTATTAGCCGTTTCTTGAGTTATTAAATTTTTCTCTTGGTTCCTGTTAAATTACATTGAAAATAGATATTTAAATATGTAATATGTATTAAATGACTCAAAATATTTATGAGAATGTTCTTGTGTTTGTGGTGCACTTCAGTTAAAGAACAAAAGCCTTCTCTCCATGAGCATTGCCTTTTAGTTACACAGTAAAAAACCTCTGGCTGACAGACTGAGATGTGATGGAGTGGAGTGATAACATGAGATAACAGTGGGCTTGCTCCCATACCAGAGAGAAGGTGGCCACTTACTCTATGCTTTGTGACACTGGAGGTGCTCAGAAATGCTTGTTATCTCCCTGTCTGACACCATCTGAAGAGATGGAGCCAGGGGGGACTCATGTTTGTGGAAAGGCAGCTGGTATAACTTGATCAGCCTGGGAAATAAGGCTTAGGGACTCCATAGCTGGAGAGACCAGTGATGGGTATAGCACTCTTGTCATCTGTTGGCAGCTGCACAGGGCGCACATGATGAAAACCATCTTATCTTATTTTAACTGAATCGGCATGAGGACTCTCTAAACTTCTTAACTGGGGCTTTTTGTATATATCAGTTACTGTTACATGAAGAAATAAGCTTAATGTTACAAAATGTATGGCATAAAATTTAGTGCACAGTTTAAATAGCTAATAGCAACTCAGACTAAACTTATTTCCCTTCTAATATCTATTTTTCTTAATCTAGCACATAGATTTTCCTGTACCTTGTCCGCTGAGATTGTTTGAAATGCTGGTAGTCCCTGAGCAGGAATTCCCTTTAGTTTGTGTTGGTGTCAGTAGAGGAAGAGACTTCAACCAGGTGGTGAAGTTTGAGACTGTCAACCCAAATTCTACCTCTTCATGGTTTACAGAAACAGGTTTGTGTGCTGTTGTAATTGCATTCAGGAATGTTCCTTGCTCTTCTTTTATAGCTGAAGCACAAGAAAGGTAGTTTCCTCCGAGGAAACTAATGGTTAAATCATTAAGGCTAAGTGCTCATTGTAAGTTCTCTGTTTAAAGGGGTGTCTGGTTGTACCTGCTTGCACATGCACCTTCTTTTTTTGGGGGGGGGGATGTTTCTGCTTATTGAACTGATTTAATTTCTTGAGATTTTGAGTATAGCAGAGGATGGAGTTGTGGTTTCTTGCATTTCCATAAATCAGGCTGTACTTGTCTATTACCCACTGTGCTGTTCTGTGCTCTACCGTGGCACTATGACCTCTGTTTACTTAATGGATTTTAATAGAATTGCACTCTGAGCAATTTCTTTCAGCATCTCTGTAGGTGTGGTTTGGCTCTCCTGCATTAAGCCAGTGTGGTTAGAAATGGTGTTGATCAGCCTTCTGCTGAGAGAGAGTATATTTCTATTCTTCTGATGCTTATGGAAAGTGAAAGGGATTAAGACCACTGGTAGCAGGAAACCAAGTACCTGTCTGTCACTGGTCTGGGTGCTATGAGTGAGCAGGCCAACATCTGAGCAACAGTAGTAGTTCTCTTAAAAAGGAAGTGTGCTAGGAATTACTTTTCTAGAGTTGCAAGGCTCCCCCTTAAACCTCGATACAGTAGTGAGCTGGACCCAGTCATAGCTTGCAGATTTAGAAGCAGTAAATAGTTTTGTTGTTACCAGGCATAGAGCCCTTATTGATCCGTGGTGAATTTCTATGTAGCCCTGTGCCAGGACGTTACATGTGTATGAATCCAGCTGATTGTGTACCGTGGGATTCACTAAGAAGAACAGTTTCCACTAGGAAGATGACTGCTGACTTTCTTGCTGCTGAAAAGTGCATCAAATTTTGACACAGTTTAAAGCGTAGTTATGACAAGCAAAACGAGCAGTGGACAGCCAATTAATGCACTTTACTTCAGACTTAGTGTATTTTACTTTCGAACTCCTACATCTATTTATGTAACTGTGTGACTTCAGTATAGTCTATAAAAGTAGCATGCTAAAGAGAAATTCTTTGACCCATAATGTCCTGTTGTTGTCATTCTCTCAGTATTGTCTGCATCAATGTGTAAATACAAGAACAGTAATTGCAGTTCCTTTTTGGTTTTTGGTTGTTTTTTTTTTTTTTTAATGTGGAAAATTTAAGATTGCATTGTGCCTTCCAAAAATGCTTCATTAGCTTCCTTGAATCATTTCTGTGTTCTCCTGTTGTGTCTATGTTGTCATTTTGTCCTATTCGTTTGACTCCTCCTGTTGTACTGGTTTATTCCTGTCCCCTGCTGGCAGGAGAGTGATAATGCAATGAAACGATTTTTCAGTGTTTTTTAAATGAGGAAAGTGTGTACCATATGGTCACATATAGCTTCCATCGAGCAGTAGTTTTCATTATTTGTAATTTTTTTTGTAAATATCTGATAGAGATATTTTTAAAAGATTAGCTGTCAGAGACTTCCTGCAGGGGGGTTCTCCCCTTGCCATCCTTCTGCTGTTAGCTTCAGCCAGTGCAGTGCATATTTCCACGTGGCATAATGCAGTTGCACAGACGAGTATCCTCCAATCCTTCTGTTGCATGCTTTCATCATGAGTATATCCACCTTTGGTTAAGATCATGCATTAGAAATTGGTTAAGATCATAAATGTATACCTTCAAAGAGCAAAAAAAGATGGAGAGACTGTGTCAAGGAGCACATTTCTGCCATCATCCTTGAGGAGTTTTTTGCTTCTCAACAAGACTATGGATTTTATCATTTAACTGAAAGCTACTTTTGTATTTTAGGTAATATGCTCTGATTTCTCATCTCTAACAGATTTAATGAGTTTCTCTTTCTGTGTGAAAGAACACCTTCAGAATCGTTAGCAGTAATGCTGAATTAGTAAGAGCTGCTTTTTGTGTAATATTATGTTAACAAACAAATGTACCAAAACCACGCTTCTCTTTTGAGTTGACATGTCCGCTAATCATGGGTCAGATCCATCTGTTTGCTGTGACAGAGACTGCTGCAGCTGTAACGCAGAAGAGAGGAAGGTAACTCCACTTTTAACAGTTTGGAGAAGGAAATAATTCCCTATTTTTGGAAGGTCTGGGGATGGAAAGTCTCAAAATAGCATCAAGATTGAAGTACTAATATAAAAGGCCCTAGCAAGATTTAGAACTAAAGGCGGAAGAAAAATGGAATAGAACAGCATTCAAGTTTAGCGTAGACAGTCTCGTATATCTCCCTTTTTTTGCAACAGCAATATTAAGAGAGAATAAAGGGAAAACAATGTACACGTGAGTTTACTTTTGTGACGTAGCTCAGGAAAGGCTGGATTAAGTCCATACTTTAATATTACAGCTTCAGTTTTCCTGTCACAGTCAACATGGATAAGTGGACATGCCTCTCTAAGAGAAGAGAAATGTCACTGGTAAGATGGTTATTTCAAGTAGAGAAAAACACGCTAACTCGTTAAATTGTCTCAATCTCTAGAATTTCCATTTCAAACTTCATGCTAATTTGTAGTATGAACTAACACTGTCATTTTTTTATAGACACTACAGAGACAAGTGTTGTACATGTAACACAGCTGGAGAGAGATACCATTTTGGTGTGTTTGGATTGTAAGTTTTAGTATCGACTAAATATGTACATATGCATATACATGCATACTGTCTTCAAATTAGGTCATATAATGAAGATTAATTTTTGGTTGACGTTCTATTTGTTGTCTAGGCTGCATAAAAATAGTGAATCTGCAAGGCAGGTTAAAATCCAGCCGCAAACTGTCATCCGAGCTCACGTTTGACTTTCAGATTGAATCAATAGGTAAGTTGGTTTTAATTATAAATATTATCTGGATAGACTAGAGAGCTGGGCAATCACCAGCTCTGTGAAATTTAACAAAAGCAAGTGCCGGATTTTGCACCCAGGATGAGGTAATCCTGGTTATACATACAAACTGGGGGACGAGAGGCTGGAGAGCAGCCTCGCGGAAAGAGATCTGGGGGTTTGGGTGATGGCAAGCTGAATTTGAGTCAACAGTGTGCCCTGGCAGCCAAAAGGGCCAACCATGTCCTGGGGTGTGTCAAGCACAGCATAGCTGGCCGGTCGAGGAGGTGATTGTCCCACTCTACACTGCACTGGTGCGGCCCCACCTCAAGTACTGTGTGCAGTTTTGGGCGCCTCAGTATAAGGAGGACGTGAAGCTATTGGAGGTTGTCCAGAGAAGGGCAACCAAGATGGCGAAAGGTCTCAAGGGCAAGACTTAAGAGGAGCAGCTGAGGTCATTTGGTTTGTTCAGCTTACGGAAGAGAAGGCTGAGGGGTGACCTCATCACAGTCTACAGCTTCCCGGAGGAGGGCAGCTTGGGAGGAGGTGACGATCTCCTCTCCCTGGTGACTAGTGATAGGACACGAAGAAATGCCATGAAGCTGCATCAGGGGAAGTTCAGACTGGACATTAGGAAAAGGTTCTTCACTGAGAGGGTGGTCGATCTCTGGAACAGGCTCCCCGTAGAAGTGGTCACAGCACCAAGCCTGTCAGAGTTCAAGGAGCATCTGGATGACGCTTTTAGTCATATGGTTTATTTTTACGTAGTCCTGTGAGGAGCAGGGAGTCGGACTTGATAGTCTTTATGGGTCTCTTCTGACTCGCGATGTTCTATGATTAACTTGTTTACTGTTACAGTACAGAGTTAGGGATGCTAACTGTCAAGTCTTTGGCATTTGAAACACTATCTCATGCATTTCACTTTGTGTGAGAAGGCTTAGTGAAAGCTTTAGCACACTATGTAACATGCTTCCTTAGGAGCAGTTGGAATGGAGTAATAACCCTGGAGTGGAGTAATAACCCTGGAATCTTCCGTGATTAGGCTAAAGGTTGGCAATGTGATGGAGACCTTCAGCCTCTAAAGGAATGCCTTAACACAACCTACATAAACTCTGTGAATCACTTATTCTGCCTCTGTGTTCACACAGTCCATTTTATAAAGCAACTCAAAAGACTAAGTTACATGATAGGTCACACTTTACATAAATTTTGTTTTCTTGTGAAGAATCTGGATTAATTAGATTTGTGAAACGGAAAGACAGGTTACATTTATTTTGACAGTTCTCCAGTGGTTACATACCTGGGTTGCATCACATGCTTTTGAAAGAGGGATGAGGAAGGATGTGTGCATAGGTGGAGGGTAGCACCAGAAGAAGAGGAGCAGTGGGAACAAAAATAGGAGTTACTTTTGAGGAAAAGCTTTAAAGTTTCAAGCGTTTAAAACATAATGTCCCACAGAGGACAAAAAAACATTGTCATGGAAAACATAAGTTTTATGGCTTCTGTTGGTTAGGAATGGGGGCAAGGAAGGGAGTACTTGGAAGCTGCTCAACTGTGGGACCTCTGCACATGCTGTAGTCTTCTCTCTGCTCACCACAAATGAGCTACCAGTGTCCGTTCTGGCCTGATAGTGTTTCCAAAGAGCTCTGCTCTCTTTCCTGCCTATCTGCCCAGAGGCAGGATGCTGGATGCAGGTGGGACAGATTCTTCCTGGGGACTTATACACTTGCCCTCTCTTTGAGGAAGGCTCTAGACCCATTTCTCTTCACAGGGTTCAAATGTGGGTGGGTGTCTGTCACTAGATTTGTGACAAGGGGCAGGGCTGGGAAGTACAGGGCTCTGTAAAGCTTTGCGTTGCTATTGCAGAAGGACCGTATTAGCCAACAGTTGCTGGGAAATTGAAAAATGTCGCTGCAGTATCCGCAGTATGTAACTTTTCTGCTAAAATTTTAATATATATTTTCTGCTAGTATTAGAATGAGGAGAGGTTTCCCGTTCAAAGGAAAGGACATGTTTAGGACTAGACAGAAGGACAGTTTTAGAAATTTTTCTGGTTGAGTGGGGATATTTTTAAACCCCACTCATTAAACGAGCAAGTAAATTATAAATGCAGCTACTTTTGAGGCAGGTTCAGAGATTCCTGTGAGATATTTTGCAGTCTGTGTGGGTGAACATGGTACAATAAAACATGTACACATTTCAGAATTGCAATCATACGCTTTTGGCCTTAAAAGCACAAGTTGACATTATGCCTCAAAACTGATTCCAGTGTTCTTTGTTACCAGTCTGTCTACAAGACAGTGTGTTAGCATTCTGGAAACACGGCATGCAAGGAAGGAGTTTTAGATCAAATGAGGTGAGTACTGCATTTTGCTTCAAGTTCTAGTTTCTGATATAAGTAAAGGACAAATGGCATAATGCTGTGGTCTGAAAAAAAGAGTAAAATGTTTCATTAACTTCCTAGGTTAGACCTGGAAGCTGGATTCTCATTCTAAGTGTGTTTCATAAGCTACAAACTAATTCGTGAAGCTGTACAGGAGCCCCTGTCAAGTCTAACGTACAAAGCAGAAAGCAAGAAGAGACTGAGACATGATGTCATAGAAAATATCCAAGCCTAATCCTTGGTAGCATTAATCTTCTTCACCTTCCATTGCTTTGAATACCAGTATCAGTCCCTTAGTCTCTCACACAGGGATGCCAAAATTTGGGCTTTGCCAGTGGTTGCACGCTCCACTGCTGAACTTTAGCTTTTTGTCACAGTGTTGAATGAGTTGCCTGTGGTTTTTTAGTCTCTTCCATGTTCCCTTCCATGTTCCCTTGGCTTATAAATACTTTGAAGGTTTTAGTACCCAGCTTTCACATGAAGTATTTTCCATTCTCAGGAGAACAATGTCAGATTGACCTAAATTATTTTTTCTAAAATTTGTCGTCCCTTTTTTCAGCCAGTTTGATGTGATTTTTAGACATAGTTAAACCATTATAAGTACCTTCCTAACTCTTTTTTTTTTCCTTGCTGCAGACTTTGTGCATCTATCTATGTATTAATGGAAATGCTGTGCTTTGTAGGATTGTAATGAGTCTTTTAATTTGAGTTATTAAAGAATGTTTACAGACTTCACCAGTTGTTTCATCAGTGTCACGTTGGCTGAGAAATTGAGCTCATTATGACTAATTGTATTTTAAGGTACATGTACAATTACACCATGCCGAGCTTAGATATTCCACATTGTTACACAGCTACATTTTTCGCACAAAGCCACAGTTGACCTAATCTGTGCTGACACTAAGCCTGCTCTTTGTGGTAAGTTGGACCAAAGACTACAGTCAGACTACTTCTTATTTCCAAGTCTGCAAATAATTCTCATGGCACTTGAGCATGTTTGATCCCCAGGCATGATTGCCCTTCTCCCAAGAACTCACAATGGTGAACTGCAGCACTCTACTGTTAGCATAGACCATGAGGAGGAGGTGACACTCCAGACTCCTGCTAGCTGCATTCTGGAAGGCTCAGTGGATTACTCTACCCATTTGCACTGAGTAGCTCTGATCCAGTTGTTAGAGGACATGCCCCAGAGTGCTGCAGTGCAAGTGGATGCTTTATATTATTTATGTAAAGCATAAGGAACTCGGTCTTCTTGCTTTGTTACTGTCAAGCCAAAGGCAGCACCTAAATGAAGAACAGAAGGCAGAGCTGAGCTGTTGGCAGGAAGCAAGCAACCCAAAACTTTTTCTCTGTCTAGGGTAAGCTCTCAGGCCTTTTTAAATGCCTTATCTCTCCTGGCTGTCCTACTAGCCACAGCTATTGAGAAAAAAAAGACAATGTAATTTTCACCTGTAATATGAAAAGCCTGTATTACTAGGCTCAGGTCTTGATCACATTCATTACTTTTGGGGAATTTTATACTCTGTTGTATGTAGGAAGTGGTTACACAGGACAAAAACCTGACCAACCTGACTTTGCAGCATGTCTGTCTTTGAAGACATTATTAGTTCGGATTCCCTAATCTAATATCAGTTGGCCTAATTGCAGATGATTTGATGTGCTTGCAAAGCGATTTCCTTCCACAACTGTGACCTTCCACAGTGGTTTGATTGAGTGGGAAGAATGAAATGGGGAACTGTGTGAATTCTGAGACAAGAAGCTCAAAATTTGGGCCAAGATTGTGCAGACTCAGCCCCACAACAAGCAGGAAGTAATTTTCTTAACAAAGTGGGGAACTTGGTTGTTGTGAATTAAAATTCTCTTGCAAGTTCTCTGTGCCAGAAGTGAATTCACTAAGTCAACTAATGCTACTAGGATCTCGGAAGAAGAGAAGAATCTCTTCTTTCCTCAAGAATGTGAAATGTGGTTGTATAGAAAAGGAGCTTTGTAAACAGCGCTGTCTATTCCATTGTGCCTTAATATCCTTTGGAATATATGGGCTTCAGCTGACTATTGATTAACGTGATGTTTTCTTTGGTGCTTTGGTATTCATGCGATCATAAGGATATATCGCACAAGTACAATTCAGCTGCAGTAAACAAAGCTCTATTGCACTAGGCTGAAATGTCAACATACTGTTTTCTTTTCACAATGGGCATAAGTACCACAAATTAGATTATGTTTCTCCATTAAGGTTTTCAGAACGTGAACTTACTGCATCACTACTATGATTCAGAGTTTCAATACAATGCATTTTATGTGTGATTTACCTGACCCATTTTGGATACCTACTCTAGAGCGAGACAAATTACACCCTACAGCTACCTATTTCACTCACGGCTGTAAAGAGAATTGCACCAGTAGCTCAGATGCTGTGCAGTGCTGAGCCCTGCTGTTGTGCTTGCAGTTGCTACCAGAGGATTTCACATAATGAAGCAGGAATTACAGAAAACTTTTAGATCTCGTTTAAAAGTGACAGTTGCATGAAATTCTCTAGCGGATTTAAATCAGCAGTAAATAGGTAACATCAGTCATAGTCAATTCTTTTCTCTAGGTTGATTTTTAAAAACAGAACAACAACACTTGTGCCCTTAACATGTAACCACTTGTTTTATTTTTATTTTCTAGATCACACAAGAAATTTCTGATAATACGAGGATATTCAGGCTTCTGGGATCTGACAGGTATGAAAAGAAGTGAACGTGGCACACTAAAATAGAAGAACAATGTGTGTTCCTCCTACCTTGTAAAAGTTCTTTTTGCTTGTTTCTTGTGATTCCTTTTTTAACCATCTTACTCATCCCTTTGTGTACATGTCTACATTTCAGCCCTTCTCTTTCTTAAAAAAAGAAAAGAAAAAAAGAGAGAGTAGAATTTCTTCTAAAAGTGTTTGTGGGCTTCCAGAGGTACTCAGCCATGCTAGCAAGTTCCTATTTGGCTGCAGTCACAACCTCCAGGAGCGTCTTCCTTTCTGTGCTGCAGTGCTTCCATTTAACTTGGTGAAATTTTTACTTTCAGATGCTCTGCTGTAGCTCATTGAGATCTTACATCTACGTTGAGACAAATGCAAAAAATATTTATAAATTTAAATATCTCCCTTTCACCCCCAGAAATGAACTCTATGAGTTGCCCTCCCAGCATGACTGCTCAGGTCTTGTAAAAGCTCTTGATAATTCCCAACATACCAGATGTTCTTTGGCATCTGTTTTGCAGGACACTAACACTGTGTCTGTCTGACCCATCAGATACCAGCTTGCCAAGTCAATAGCTGCTATTTTAGGAGTGTCCCTGACTTCCTCAGCTTTCTCTCCCTTCTGTTGAACCTTGGACTTCTGTAACAGCCACAAAACCAGCAGATACTTTGTCTTGTGGGGAGTGCGTGCTGATGTGACAGTTTCACCAGTAACATATTTGTGTGAAGTGCAAAGATAGGCTTTATTTTTTCTTTTGAGAACTGCCTCCATATTATGCCACTTGCAGTAAACTCACTCTCTTGTCGCATCTCAGAACTACCAAAAAAGCTTCACATCAGCCAAAGGTCTTCCCCATATTCTGCTTCTCCAGGCTTGATCTACAGCCCTGTTACTACCCATAACATCAACAGCAGTGAGTGGTGCTGTGGCTTTATCGGCTGGCAACCAGCAGTTTTTGCTGGCTGAGTTGAGGATTCTGTCTTACATTCAATACCTGATAGCTTTGTGGTAATGTGTAGTTGTAAGTAATACTTATCTCTGACCAAATGTGGTTCCATCTATTTCTGGCGTGCATGAGTAATCTTCCACGTCTGAGACAGTGTTTAAAGACTTTGCACTGCCTAAACATTAATTCCAGTTTTCTTCAGATACCATTTTGCTTGCAGCTCTGTCATATTTTGTGCTTGAGCTGTGAAACCTTTTTGTGGTAACGCATGTCATTTCCTAGGCAGTCCATAGGAACTGGGGTTCTGAGAAGGCAAAAAACTGACATCAGTTTAATAAGAACTTGCAGTAAAGCAACTTGCAGTTGCTTTCTCCTGGTGAGCAGGGAAAGCCTTATGGCATGAGATGTCATTCCCTTTGTGGAGCACATTGAGCAGAAGGTTGGTTTTATGAGCCATAGTTTTGAAGCAAGCAACCTCTCCTTGACTGCATACACAATAGATGGATTTGAATTTCCTAAAATCTACCTTCGCTTCAGGGTGTTTGTGGAGGAAAATTCAATCATCAACATCCTGGTCCATTTAGCAGTTTTTAGCAGTTCTTGCCTGATCAAAAAATTCTCAAATAGTTTGTGAAACAGAATTGTGACTGCTAATTTATCTCCCTTGAAGAGAAAGGTCTCAGCCCTTTCTTTGCAGTTGTAGTGTAGGTCCAACTAACCCAGTCTCCTGTCTCCAATGCTGGCCAAAAGTGAGTGGCAAGAAAGGGGTGAGAGAGAAGATTCTGCCCATAGCCATCCTTTCCTTGAGGACTCTCTCAGCCTGCAAGTCTTTGTCTCTGGGACTTTCAGAGCTAGAGACAGTTTCTGTGGATTTAGGTTATGTGAGCTCAGGGAAAGACTAGAAATGCTCACAGAAGTCAGCTTTGGTCATCTGTCATGTTCAATGGCAAAGGGCAGAGTAATGACTTCCAGAACTGGAGCCTGATTAATGGGTTAGTTTTGCAAAGCTCTGGGAGAAGCACAGGCCCACACAGCAGGGGAGTGATGGACCCTCCTCAGAAGCCTCCACTGAAAGGATGAGAGGCAACAGGCATACATTGCAGCAAGGGAACATCATGGTGAAGGTAGTTGGGCACTGCAGTAGGAGCCCAGAGAGGCTATGGGAGATCTTGGAGACCTTGCCTGGACAAGACCATGAGCTAGCTTTGAGGCTGGCC